TAGTTTCATATTTTCGCTGTGCTTGTTTCTCTTCTTATTACCAAAGGTTCATGAGTTGTTTTTTGTTGTAATGATGAACTGTAAATTTTATTTATAGGAAATAAAAAGTTATTTAGATCATGTCTCGATCGAAAGTTTTAGTAGCATGAGAAATTAATGGTATTTTTAAACCAAATCTCACCTTGTTTCTTTTACATTTTATGTATGTTTGTCTATAAGTGTTGGTTTATGCATGCTAGCTACTGCTTATGGTATTTGGTGATTAAACCAATGTTCTAAAGAGAGATATATGTCAAAGATTTGAGGCGATGTTAGAAGTTAGAACATAGTTTATCAACAAGTGACTTTTTAAAAAGCTACTATAACATAAAATCAATACGTAGATTCTGCAAATATATAATCATGACTCTGATCCAAAAGATTCCGATAACACAAGAAAAAAGATATTTAAAAGTAAAAAGGGATGCACACATGTTTTGGTAGATGATCTTGGTTTTAGAGATTGATCTTCTTGTTGAATAAAGTTTGTTTTGTTTCGCTTATACATTGATATCTATACACAAATCTATGTGCTATCTACTCAGTTATATATTTATCCATCTATTTTTGTTTTTTCATTCCTTGGTCCCGATTATGTTTTTAAACGTTTACTTATAGCTTATTAGCTTGTATCGAGCAAAAAATAATAGTTAGAAGTTAGAACGATTAACATTTCAACTTTTTGAATAACGTTACGACTATGACACGTAGCCTATTAGTATGTGACACTAGCATTTTGGTATCAACATCAAAATTAAAATAACATTGTTGATAAAAAAAATGTTTCTTAATTATAAACATGTTTACGGTATGAATCAAACGTTTTAAACATACTATGGTACTCTAAATTACACCAGCAGTGTAGGGGAATATATTGACCATTTGATCTCATGAATGTTCGGTTCATATGCACTTTTTCGTAAGTACAATTTGGTGGACTATAACATTATTCCAATATAGCATAAAATCGTCTGAAACAATTAATTACTACCCACGGAATTCTACGTATAGGACATAGCTTTGTCTAAGACGCATCCACACATATCTCAAGTTGAATTTGAATACTAATACAGCAGATAGAGCATTAATGAAAATCACTCGATCAACAACATTATCTCTATCTTAATTACA